TTGGAAAAACATGAAGAAAATAGATTATTAAATTACTCTTTCTCAGAGTCGGTTTAACTCTATATAGAGTGGGACCAAATATACTCCGAGCAGAGTTAATTTAACTCTTGGGATTTTACTGTGTATGCACCAATCACTAAGTAATGTGAATCCCCTTCACTTACATGGCAATAAACACGATTCTGGTCTGGAAACTCATGCGCCACTGAATCGAACGGGGTGAAGACACCCCGGAGTACTTCCCAGAGCTGCACACTCGTAGAATTTGCTCACAACCAGCTCCAAGAAGCACTCAGTAACTCCTTAATTATTTTTTCTATGGTGCCATTGTTTAAAATAAAAGCACTGGGTGGCCTTGAACAGCGCCTGTGTGTCTCTCGCGACCCACAACAACACTTTCACACTTTCTCTAAGCTCCTTGCCTTCTTCTTTTGTGTTCCTTGTTCTCTTAAATATTGGCTTATCTTGTAAATCTATTGGTTCATTTTGGTATTTGGATTGTCATTAAATAATAATTGTGTGTTTTCTAAAAGCAATATGTTTTTATGAAAACGGGCTAAATACATAGTCTACGTATGTTATATCCAAACTTGTTCAAGATATAAAACCCACACGCTCTACACCACTCTGCTGAGATGCAAAATATGTAATGCCCTTTGATATGTACTACTCATTAAAAATAGATGGCAATAAGTCATTAAAGACATGTGAATTAATTTAATTAGCCATGCACTGCTACATGTAGCAGACTGGGGAAAGACATGCTGCTAACACATATACACAGAATGATTTTGATACAGGAAAGTGTTTATCCAAACTGTATTAACTATTTGAGTGCATGCGTGCGTGTGTGTGTGTGCGTGTGTGTAAAGTGAGCGTGAATTAATCTTTCAACAATCAAAAGCAGCATTTAATTTATCAAAACAAACCAGCAATGGCAGCAGAAATAAATAATGAATTCTTGAATAGCAATGATCATTTAAAGCCCAGCACGTTGGTCATTTCTCAAACATCACTGTATTTCTAAAGCGGGTGTCACAATGCTCTGGCACTGACGGCTTAATCCATGGTGCCTGTGACCCGATGCCTGGAGCTTTTCGAACAAACTGCAGTCTTTTACTGAATTTAGTGAAAAGCAAAAGTTCAGTTCATTACTGTTTTTGACCCCTGCCATATTTATAGCATTAGTGTGAGTCTCGCGGCATCACAGGAATCATGGGAAAAACATCTATAAACGTCTTCCTCTTTCTAAAAACCTGCTTGAGAATCCCAGTGACTGCAATCTGTCAATCAACCTTAAAGATCTGCTCAGGATTTCACTTCATGAAAAACAAATAAACCCAATGATTTGTAAGGTCATCAAAATGAATAGTGATGATCAAACAATTGTGTAATCTAAAACAATGGAAATAAATAGAGGGAAACATACCTTTTGAATGGGTTTAAGGTCAAAAATTAATTGATAAAAATACACTGTTAAAGAGGAAAACAATTGTTAACAACAAGAATTTTGATATTTAGGTATTTTGATATTTTTTAACCATTTTTCATGTGGACTGTAGAATATGTGCAAAAAAAACTCAGCAGTGTTCTCAAGCGTTCATGTACAGACTGCATCATGTTTGGCAAGGCCTGTCCATAGAACAGGATGCTGCATTCCATATTAACAACATCTTCAAAAGAAGAAGAAAAATAACGTACATTTTGTAGGACATAATCTTTTGTTATCTCTCTTTTTCAGTTTAAATGCGAGATTCTGGAAACGGCTTAAAATGTTGTGTAACACGTTCGGATCGAGAAGAAAAACATTCGGAGCGACCAGCGGCTTAAAAGTGGGTGAATATATAAAGCCTTGAAGGAGGCTATTAAAAATATCTGTTAAATTTACAGCAAACTTCTGTATAAATGTTACAGAATTTTTCTTTTCACAAAACTTTGCATTTGCAGTGAAAAAAAACTTAATACATTTGACAAAATAAGACCTTAAATTTAACAGATAAAACTACATGAAAATATGGTTTAATGATGTAAAATTTATATAAAATATATTTGAAAAATGAACAAATGCTGTATTATCTCAAACAGAAAAGACATGATTTTGAAAGGTTCTAAAATGTGATTTACAGATATAGATTCCCGCAAAACTAATAACAATTTAATTATAAAGTAAGCACAATCACAGCTTACTGTCGTTTTTTAATTAACACTATTAATACTACAGAAACCTTTAAAATAGACAATTCTGAACTGTATAAAAAATGGTAATGGAATAACTGTTTTTATAGCAACAAAAATATGTTAGTTAGACAATTAAAAAGGAATTTATAAACCATTAAAAATCAATCAAATGTACAGTCAATCCTGTAAAACCAATAGCTACCATTTATTTAATGGTAAAGTGCTGGTAACTACAGCTGCCAGGTTTTTACTGTAAGATAAACGGTTTGTAGTCTATAAAACTTTATTTTGGTTTAGTTAAAGAATGTGCTGAACATCAAATGAGAGACAAAAAACTGAGATTTAAAAAAAAGTTTACATTTAGTAAAAGACAGACTGTGTGTTTATCTAAATAATAAAAAAAAACAAGTTAATATATGACTAATACGTTCGCACAGGTCTCTTCCTGCGCTGCTCTATCTGTTAATGTGGAAAGGATGGAGATCCCAAATGAAACTGTGAACAAGTGACCCCATAGAATTTGAACAGTGGGTTCACTCTGAACTCCCTCTTCTGTTCAAGGGTGTGTGAGTGTTTCTGCTGGCTCGAGCAGGTTGGGTTACAGCTGCAGGAATGAGGGAGTGCGAGCAGTAACACAAGGTACCATGGGGAATGATGGCCCTGCTGTCAGTGGTTTGCAGATAACAGGCCCCTTCCCTCAGCACAACCCCAAACACGCACTCGCAAACACACTTTTCCTTCGCTTCAGCATGCCAAAAATCTCTCTCTCAC